AAAAAAAAATCATGCTTAAAAACTATTTATATAATGGAACAAAGAAAATCAACAATACACTTGCAAGCCAAATTAGTAAAATATACTGCCTGCATTGTTAGAGCGGTGGTGGCAGGATCTTGCAGAGTAAAATGCTAAAAAGGCGATAAAGCATGGATACTCAGGCTTTGCATGAAAACAAGACTGGCTAGATCAATGAATTGCTGAGAGAAAGAGATAATTAGGGAGAAACTTATTTGCCAGCCAGAAACATCAGAAACGAAGTCAAGTGGAGTTTTGCTTCCGAAAAGAAGCTTTACTATTCGCCTCCCAGCAAGTGTTTAGTACGGAGATTGTTCGTCGTCAGGTACTCGAACATCATCAATCTTGAGAACCATGCGCACAACCTACATTGATAATCAAAATAGCCGAAACGTCAAGGCGGCTGAGTGAGAAGAAAGTTGGTTACCTGAGTAGCAAGTGAGATTTGTTCCCTCTTTGAAACAAGCGTCTCGACAACTTTTTGTGCTCTCATGTCATTAGTGCCCTTGAAGAGGGCATCAATTCCCAAATAAGAGTTTCCAGTCTTGATTTGCTTTGCCTGAAGTATACATTTATACAGGCGAAAAACTCGGGTGCAGCAACTGTGTCCACATACGGACCTTCAAATCAGTAATTGCATCTATCGCACCGAGTCCACTGTTCTCCGCTAATGCCATTGGAATTGCTTCAAGCGCATCAGCAAATGCACGGAAGGCGTATTGTTCTACGCCTTCAATCTACAAAAGATAAGAATCATTCGAGGGAAAACGGCAGATAGTATTCATGCATAAGCCTTTCGAAATGGATATGAAGAATGTCAGCTGATAGGAGAGTGGGGATTTGGAAACAGTAGCGAATGAGTGTTGTCGCAGATGTTATCTCAGCAAAAAGCCACTGTACCTTATCGGCCTCTCTCGCAACTTCAATTGCACAAGCAGTCTCAGCTGATCCACCTCCATAGACAATACGATCATCGCGAACTAAGTTACGAATCACACAAAGTGCGTCGTGAAGCGAACGTTTAGCCTCGTCAACTATCTAAGTTAAAGTTAGTATTCGTCTCCTGAAACATCGAAGAAGAAAGAAAAGAACTAGCCATTTTGTTGCCTCCTCGCACAAAAATGGTGACTGCCTTACTATTAGGACACTGCTCAATGGAGAGCATGCGATCGCGAGCCGTTCCAAAAGTGATCTCACGAACCAATCCAGCAGAGCCAAGCTTAGCCGGGGATAGCTCAGAGAACCTAAACTATTAATTGTAGTTGCGAGAAGAAACCCTATTTAAACAGCCAACCTCGGCACAATACGAGCATTCGTGGCTATTGCGAGAAGCTCAATTTCTGGGCCTCCTACCCACCGCACAGCAGGAAGTTGATGGTGATGTAAAAGATGATTCGCTTCATCATCAAAACCCCACTGACAGACGGCCAGAGTTGCACCGCTCTCTTTGACCTAGATTGGAGACAGAACTTAAGAACTAAGGGTTTAAAAATCCGGAAAATTTAAGAAACAGAAGTAAAAACAGACATATAACCTAAAAGATAGCCTAACAGGGCAGCATTTGTGAAAGAGTTATATTCTTTTTGCTTGTACTAGGTACTACAATCACTATCAACAAGTCACAAGGCTGACTGATACATGTCTAATGGTTCAGATGTTGTTAGATGTATATGACAGTTCTCAGCGATTCAAAACATGATGATACAAAGTTAATCTGGAATATGTCAATATTGAGCTGAAAGAAAAAGACGAAAAAACGAAGGGTTGCAGAGAAAGTTTAAGCGACAATCATTTCTAAATGTACGAAAAAATAAAGGTGAGATGCATATACAATCGACTGTGAATAGAATGTGTTATTTTTGGGCCAAACAACATGTCGTATTTGGAATGTTCGGGTCTTTAAAGCGACCACAACAAATGCCGCTTACTTAAAGCACGCTGAAGTAAGAAAGTCAAAAAGCTGATTAGAGGCTCGCTAGTCTTTAAGAAACATATGGGAGAGTTACGTGGATAAAACCACGAACCACGCTTTAAAGGTTGGATATTTGAAAAAAGTCTTAGAAAAGCGACAATTCATTTCCTAGGTTCGATATGATGTCTTTCATTTGCGACTTTCAAAATTTGTAATTATGATTATGAATTCGGAAATAAATGACGTATA